ATCGGAGTTGGGCCAATATTCCCATTTTTTTTCTTAAGTAATCCAGGTGGCATATTAAATGGCCGTTAGTCGAAAACTTAAATAGGGAGAATATGTGTTTCTCAAAAAAAAAAAATTAAAAAAAACAACCATTACGCGTAGAAAAGAAAATAACGTTGATGTTCTTATTTTTCGTTCCTTATTTCTTATTTTATAATTAAAAAAAATAATTACATTTAATAACTATAAGGAGGTAACCATTAAATTTTAAATTTAAAAGATAAAAATTTTATATGAAAATTAATTTTTTATATTATTGTTACTTTTAATATTTATTTTGTAAGTCAAATAATGATAAAATAAAATTTTTATTTTATGTTTTGGGAAAAAAAATTGGGAACGGAAATAAAAAATAAGAAACTTGATTTGTTATTTCTAAAATTTAGTATAAAATTATGGGAACATTTCTTAAAAAAATGAGAAATCATAAACGAAAAGATTACCCAACTTATTCTAAGTTTACCAAAACCAAAAGTGTTACCATTGTTCAGAAGAGTTGTTTTCAATTATATATCAACTACCAACTCCATTTAGCATAGCGGGTTTGATCATACTCTACTTGTAGGGATCTGGGGCATCGCCCCGAAGCATCATGGCTACGCCTCCTACATAGGCATCTCGACAATATTGCTTGGACAAGTTGACATCCTGAAATGAATGGTGCAATTATTCTAGCCATCTACTTCATAACCCTCTTGGAGTCATTTTCCATCTCACAACCTATCTAGCAGACACTTCTCAAGTTCTCATCTTATAGCAGCTATTTCTTACCCTGCAATTCATTATCATTCTCAACCCGAGAAACCAAACTTTTATTGAGAAACAATGAAAGAGAACAAACTAAAGGAGATACGAAAAATAGCTCGAAATCAAAGGAGCCAAACAACTAACTCTATAAAAATGGACTCCAACCCGTAAGCCATCAATTTGTTTGACAGTTTTGCATACAATTCCCATCTTATAACTCATCTAGCAATCCTCATTCTCTCCTACATGTTCCTTACATTGAGGAGAAGTGTGTGTAATATCACACCTCTATCATCAGCAAGACTCTCTGTCCCTTGTTTAAATTCAACTTTAAACTCAAAACAATATCTTTTATGAAGAACCAGGCTTTCATTAACAAAGAGTTTACACAAATCACAGCCCAAGATAGGGAATCAAAGCAACACCCAAGGACTTAACTAGCTAAAAAGAGGCTGAAGCTAAAAAGAAGCTCTAATTCAAAAGAACAGGGCCTTGATAACAGAAGTCCTTACACGTAGACCTCAAAAAGAGGCATTAAACTTTGGCAAGAACCCGCACCTTGAATTAATACTATGTGGCCAGGTTTGAACGTTCTTGTAGCTTGTTAAAATTTTGAGGAAGTCATCTTTGTTGATACTATCACTAACTTGATAGGGCCGCAGTGTTGTATTCTTTGTAAAGGGTGGCGGAGGATCTTGATCATTGGAGATGTCATTTTGCCTACTTGATATGAAATTTTCTTTTCAATATATATATTTTTATGAGCTTGGTTTCAGCCTTGCTCATCCTAGAGACTGTAGTGCACTGGTAGAGGAGTTGCTCACTATTTCACTCTTTCGTGATAAGGGGCATTCTCTTTGCCTCGTTGGGATTTGTACTATTTTATAGGATTTGTGGATGAGAGAAACAATAGAATTTTAAGGATTTGTGGATGGAGAGAAACAATATAATTTTAAGTGATAAGAGATCTTGGGAGGAGGAAGTCTTTAATTAGATTTCATATTTCTATTTGGTGGTGAAGGACTTCTATAATTATCTAGTCCTTTTTTGGTTTAGTTTGGCTCCTCTCGCTAAGGCTATCTTCTATATGCCCTTTGT